CCACAGGAGCAGTTCTGCCCCGTCCTATAGGGTTACTGTAAGGAGAAACCCACAGGCGCAGTTCTGCCCCGTCCTATAGGGTTACTGTAAGGCAGAATCGCCTCGATGGCAGTGTATTCAGTTCAGTTGGACACGTGCTTGTCTATATCTTTGAGAACCCTGCCTCCACGAATTGCTCAGTGGGGCTCATGAGCCCCAGCCTAGCCCTACCCGAGAGCTCCCCTGCCGTGTGGGTTGGCCTTGCAGGGAAGACCAGTGTGGGTAGGAAGGGAGCAGGAGGGTTTGATTCCTCAGAGGGCTTCCAGCCGGGCCTTTATCTCTAAGAGGGAAGAGTGAAACTCGATCCACTGGACACTGCTTCAGTAGAAGTGGGAAGCCTGTGTCCTTCGCAAAGGGTCCTGCTGGGAATCTCCCTGAGAGTAGCCAGTGGAAGCTATCCCTTGGCAGGACAGGCTGGCAGGTTGGGACATAGGTGTGTTAAGTGATGCATATATTTTTTGCTTTCTGTGTGGGCCGCAGCATGTGTCTACTTTGTTGACATCCCACTATGGTCACTTGCTCTGCATCTTGCCCAGTAGCCTCTCTGGTTCTAAACGCTCTCTGCTTTCTAGATGGATAAAATGCTTCTTATGCTACTTGATAATTTATTTCATGGCGCTGGGTGTTAAGAGAGGATCCTTGGTTGCACTGCAGGTTGACACGTTGGGCTGCCAATTGCAAGGCCAGGAGTTTGAACCCACCAGCTGTTCCTTGGGTGAAAGATGAGGCTGTCTGCTCCGGGAAAGCCTTACCGTCTCAGAAACCCAGAGGGGCAGTTCTACTCTGTCCTGTATAAGTTGGAATCAACTTGATGGCAGTGCATTGGATTGGGTTGGGTTACGTTGGGTTGGGTTGGGTTGGGTGTTCAGAAGTGGTTTTACCATCCACTCACCCACTCAGGAACACACTGGTCTTAAGGTTGCTGACCACCTTCCCCTCCCCGGTGGTGTCATGGTGCATCCGGGTGACACCTCTGCCAGTCCCACCCGACTCCCCTCTTGACGTCATCCGTGCTGATGCTCTCCATGCACATGGGCTGGGACCTACGAATTGATTAATGGCGATTAATGGTGGCGAACTTGTGCAAGGACTCCGGAGGCTCAAGAGGGAAACCAAGCACCTGTGTCTCCCTCTTCAAGAACTTCCTGTTCATCAGGAAGTCACGAAACACCTGCACAGATGCTCAAGCTGCCTCTGCCGATTCTGAGAGGCTAGTTCCAATCTCCTTCCATTGGATTCTTCTGGCCAGAAGCATATGCATGGTAGTCTGTTCTGCGGTGTGTAGGTGAGCACAGGGAACAGCTGATGAGGACATGGGCATGACCCCCACATCCTCATCACCGCACCTGCACATCCTCTAGCTCCCACCATCTTCAGCTGCTTGTTTCTAGACTGGACCCCTCTGGGGAGCAGTGATGGCATTTCATGAAGAGGACATTTTCTCTGGTGAGAGCCCTTGGTGGCTACGGACACTTAAAGGTCTTAACTGCCTGGGACCCATTCCATTGACTCCCAGCTGTGTGCAGTGGAGGTGTCTGTTCTGGCGTTGAAAGGAGATGCGTAGGTCTGTGCTTCCTAGCAGTCAACAAGCCCCCTGTTCTAGGCACACCTAACCATCCCATTGCCCGACAGCTAGTTTGCGCATGTCCAGCTTCGGTCCTCTCCAGCTTCTACCTGCCACCGACCCAGTCTGCGAATGATCTAGAATGGTGTCCCAGAGAGGAGCCAAGCCACTCTAGAAGGTTCACCTCTTTAGTAGGTCCAGCCGCACAGGGCGCACACCGCCAGCACACCTAGGGTGTAGCCTCCACAGTGGGGCAAGGTGCAAGGAGTTGAGCGTGAGATAGAATCTTCACAGGCGTGCAAGGCTGACTTTGTGATTGCTCCAGAAGAATGCTGTGCTGGGAGCCATTCCAAGCAAATAATGCCCGAGGCTCTTTGTGTCAGGTCGTTCTGATTTCAAACAGCCCGTAAGGCAGTTGAAATGATGTGAGCCGAGTTCTACGTTGGGAAAATGGGTTGGTATGACACGGGCGTGCTTGATGAGATGAGAAAGCTTAGAGGTAGATCTGGGTTTAGGACAACCAAAAGGCAAAAGGGTGGGTGGGGGGACCTTTATCTCCTGTAAAAGCAATGGCCAGATTCCTCTCTGAGGAGCCATGGCACGTGAGCAAGAGCACGTGGGCATGGTGTCTCTCCCTCCCCCTGCCTCTCTCCCCCTCGTCTTCCCTGTCCCAGGAACAGTGGAGCCTTGGAGCGCCCGTGAACTTGACTGTGGTAGGGCTCGTGGGCATTTCTCATTAACTCCCTTGACCTGGGAGTTTTCTAGGAATGACTGGGGTGATCCATAAATTCTGAGAGGCTCTCCCACAGAGAGCTTGCTGAGGGAACTTCTTTAATGCCACCAGTTTTCCAGTCTAGTAGTGATGACACCATCATTGTATTGCTGCCTTAGGGAAACTAGAATCCAGTGCTTCCAGGGATGCTCGCACTGCTCCCCAAAGGGGGTCCAGTGTGAAGACCCCGTGTTGTTGCCAAATTCAGCAGAAACGGTCACCGTCGGCCCGTTCTACAACAAAAGGAAACCATTCTGATACTCTGACGAGACCTATCCTCTGGCGCTGTTTTGGGGGCAGGAATGGATTTTCCAGCTCTTCTAAATTCGGTCAAGGATATAGAACCGGGCTTACTCGTATATCTGAGTCCGTCTCCTCCTCTCCTGTTCTCTTTCCTCCATCAATACGCTGTTCCTTTTGCTACCTTTGACAAGACCGAGGACGGATCCTCTTCCGGAGACCCCTCGCCCTCTTCAGGAAGCGTGGACCGGCTGTCTTCCTTTCTTTCTCCTAGGAACACACAGCCTTGTCCTCTGGAATCTTTTGATCCAAAGCGCAGGAGATCTATATATCTCCCAAAGCACAGCTCTTGTGATGTAAAGCTTTTGTCTTGTAGCCCATTGTTGCAAGTGTAAGGTGTGGGAATCAGCTTTTGCTGCTCAGCCCCCACCCCCACCCCCCGATCTTTCCAGGGTCAGGATCGCCCACTATGGGAAACAGTGGTCTCCATGAGAATTCTCTCCAGCACCAACCTCTCAGTTGTACATCTTCACTGAGGGGTTTTCAGTGAAGATGTACATGTACCGCCTTCCTGCATGTACCGTAAGAGATAGATAACGGGCCAGCACAGTGCCAGAGAGGACTGGGAGCTGTCCTTTTGCGTGTGCGCACGCGCACACACCCCTGGACATGGGAACCATCCCACCCGGTGGAGTGAGGCTCTGAAGTCAATGGAACAGTCCCTGCAGCCTGGTCCCAGGACAGCCAGTGACTTGTTGCTCTAGCGTGGGCGAGGCACAGAGATGGGGTGCCTCAGCCCAGTGGGCATTGCCTCCTTTTTAAAAAGCCTTTGTAGACTGAGGGATCAAAAATGATTCCAATAGCAGGACTGACCTGAAACTCAGAATAAACTCCCTGTGTGGCACTGACCTGGTGCCCCAAGAGAAGGGCATTTTCTCGGACGTCCCTGGCTCCCGGGCCCTTCCATGGAGCTAAGGGTCCATGGCTTCTGTGCCCAGAGGCGCTCCTCCTCCCCAGCTGCTGCAGACTTGGCCCCCATGGAGCTGCAGTGCACAGTCGTGGGCGGCATTCTAAAGGAGAGGTGCCCGGCCTTGCTGCCAAGCTCATCTCCGTCTGGAAGCCCCACTGAAACTTGTGCCACATCCTGGCAACACTGAGCCTCAGCTGGCGGATGAGAGGGGCACTGCGCTGGCTGAGGGTGGAGGTCAAGACTCCCACCCCTGAGCCGCCATGCTAAGTGAGTCTCAAGTGTTCTCCTTGTCCCCTCCCTGTCCCTCTGTCGTCCAGAGTTGATGCCGGGGGACCCCAGGTCCCTGGTCTTTTGATAGCCAAAGACAAAGGACACTCTGAAGCTCATCCTTTTGTTGGTGATGCTAATGCTCAGGTGCTGAGGTTGTCAGGGCTCTTGCCGCAGGAGGGTGTGGTTGCAGAAGCTGAACAACGCCCTCCTTCCTTCACCCACAGTGAGACATGAGCCACCATGCAGGCAGTGTGGCGAAGCGGTGACAAGCACCCGCCTTGCCCAAGTCCATGCTAGCTCCATGCCTGTGAAAAACCAGAATGGGGCAATGCCTGGTGTGTAGGGCTGTTGTGTGTGCTTAAATGAAAGGACCTTTGAAAAGTGAGTAGAAAAATTGCACTCTCTCCATTTGATTCGCCACTGAACTTTTTAACGTATGGGTGGGGTGGGGATGGGGATGAGGGGGCGGGCTTTATAAAGTTTGTGGAAAAGCAGAATTCAGTAATGACGTTATGTGTTCCGTAAGTGCTACCACTGCCACCGGGGAGATTCTGGTTCAGAGCAACCCAATAGAGGGTTTCCAAGGCTTTGCAAGTCTTTCGGGGAGCAGGCTGCCTCCTTTCTCTCCTGCACAGCAGCTGATGGGTTTAAACCTCCCCCCTTACAGTTAGCAGCCCAGCACTGACTCAACAGTGCTACCAGGACCCCGTAATTCCAGTCAGGGCCACAGAAACGTTCTCTCTTGCAAGAGTGACAGCACACGCACATTGCCCCCTCGGAGAATAGTCTGAGGTACAGGAGTCAGACTTGCCGCGCTGCGGACTTGGTGGTGCTGGGACTCTGGGGGTGTATTTGTACAAGGATTTCTGTTTGGCCGTTATGGGGGTGATGGTTTTCAAAATGCCCTCCAAACTCACTGCCATTGAGTCGATGTTGACTCCGATCAACCCCAAAGGACGGGGCAGAACTTCCCCCTGTAAGTTTCTGAAACTCGCTCTTCATGGGTAGAAAGCCCTGGCTTTCTTCCGAGGAGCAGCTGGTGGTTTCAAACTGCCGACCTTGCAGTTAGTAGCCCAGCGTGTAACCACGACACTGCCAGGGCCCTTGAACATGATGGTGGGTGACCTTCCAGTGACCCCCACATGCTCAAGCAGATCAGTTCCTGGCTGCCATCTCCTCGACATACATCTCCGGCCTCTTTCTTACACAGAACCACGGGGTGGGTCCAACTGCCAACCTCTTTAGGGCAGCGCTTTAACCGACTGGCCGCCTTGGCCATTTATCAGAGTGCCGGCCTCCTCTTCTGGGGTGGAGAGAGCTACCCCCTCTTTTTGAGAAGTCCGCCCGCGGTGCTTCGGGTCTCTTTTCTGGTGGGCATCTCGTTCTCCTTTGCAGCCCCTTAACACCGAGGGCCATGCTTTAGCTTTCCGCGAAACTCTGACTGAATTGTCCTTAGTAACGATGATGGGTCTCCGTGAGATCCATGCAGGGCAAGGCACCACCATCCAGACTTCTTGAGCTGCTTCCAACCCCTCATTCCCCCAATCTTCCTTCACTTATTTCCAAAATAACCTGCTCGGAGGCAGGTTCAGGGCGGACGTGGGTCCTTCCTTTACCACCTCAGTCCCCTTCTCCTCCAACGGAGTGGATATCCAGTCCGGCAGCATTGAATCCGAAGGGTGGCTGGAGTTCTGAAAGGAACGGATTTGGAAGGGGACAGCAATCGCTTCCACCTCCTGCCTTCTACCAGGTGTACCCCAGGCCCCTGCTCCCCTCGCTGTTTCTTGAAATAATGCCCCGTGTTTCGTCCGTTCCTTCTAGGGGAAGAAGAAAAAGAGGAAAAGGGACAAGCAGCCTGGAGAGACCAATGGTACGTTGGGAGCATCCATCTGTGGGGAGACGGGAGCAGTAGCTAAGGACCACTTTTATGTTAGGCTTCTCTCTGGGGGGGTAGGGGGGGAATCCAAGGCCAGGACGTTGTGGGGGGAAGCCCATCTTAGCCAGCCTCTTTGTTTATGCCTTTTAATTAATTGCTTCGTGACTGCCCTTTTAAAGCTAGTAACATCCATTGTTGCATGAAAAGCACATTGTAATCCTAGTGGAATGTGTTTTTAAATTACGGCAAAGCCCGCTCCTGGAGGGCCAGAGGCTTGCCTAGGCGGGTGAATAGTCAGTCTGCTGACTGTGTTGTATGTGTGGAGGTGGGCTGAGGAGGGGGCTCGGGGAGGAGTGTGTGAGTGTTTGATCTTAACTGGGCTGTTGTCGAATGTTCTGATGCATGCCTTTACAGTGGTAAATTGCACCCATTTTAAATTAAGGAGGTTTGTCATTCTCTGAGGAGAAATTAGAAATACTGCATAGGCAATCTCAGCGGTCCCTTGGAGAAAGAAGGCCAAGTTTTTACAAGCAAACACAAACCAACCATTTTGAAGGCTTTGTATAATTTGTTCTTTTTTTTCAGAACACAGCGAATGTTTCCTAAATCCTTGCCTTTCGCTTCCTCCGATTACAGGTGCTCATGTCATTTTGAGTCATTACAATAGTTGATAAAGTGTTCTTTAATTTTTCCTTGCCATTCTCGTTTTATTAACGCTGAAAATACGTATAACATCTGAACATTCTCTATAAAATGACCATCTACCCGGTTTCATATGTTTCAGTAGAATTTTTTTTCAGTTGCTTTTCTTGTTGTTTTTGTTTTTCGTTTTTTAAATTTAACTTTTGTTTGTTTATCTTTCCCATAACAGTTGTTTAAGCAGTCACAACAGTGATTTAGACTCAAACTAACTGTGCAAATTGAATATGCAGTATTTCTTTAAAAGAGACTGGTTTACCAAAAAAAAAAAAAAAAAAGGAAGGAATTCATTAATAAAACCTCCTTAATCTAATGGCATTTTCCATCACTCCCACTAAGTTTTCTCACGCAAGCATGGATTATTTTTTCCTTTCTTTGCCTTTAATTTTTTTTTTTACTTTTCATTTGTTTTCTTCCTTTTGCTTTTCTGCTTATAACTTGCAACCCACTAGCACTTTATTGACTGTGCTGCCGTAAATGCTGCCATGAGCTTCCAACTAACCCTTAGCCGCTCATTCACACAGCCTTTTTTATACCTTTCTCTATTCCTCTCTTAATATTAATGAGAATCAGTAAATAGGGAATGTAATGATGGACGCCCCCAAAGCTGCAATATCCCAACACCACAACCCTTTTCTTTATTTCTTTCTTTCTGTTTTATTTCATTTTGTTTCATTTGTAGTTGTGTTTTTGTTTAATTATTCCGTTTTAAACTTGTTACACTCTGAGAAGAAAAGAGCATGTTACAAACTTAATCCCCTCCTTTGCCTTATTTTCTTCTTTAAGAATTTAAAACCAACCAAACAAAAAGATACAATTTTGAGGAAAATTTAAAAAAAAAAAAAAAAGGAGAGCAAAACTCTTAAAAAAAAAATAGAGGGAAAAGATGACTTAAGAATTAGTTCTTCGGTTTCGGAACTTCTCTTTATCGCCTCAAACCGAATCTGAGAGACAGTCCTCGTAGAAGGGATACTGCAGCTTTATTTGCAACAGCTAATTTCACGAGTTGGATACGAAATGTGATTTTTCTACTTTTTTTTTTTTTTTTTTAATGAAAGAACGTTTTTGGTTTTGTTTTTTAATGGAAAGTCAATATTTTGCCATTAGTAACCAGGTCATTGATTTATTCCCTTTTTTATTTATTTATTTTTTTTCTTATTTGTATCTCTCTCTCCTCCCCTCCCTCTCTCCCTCCCCCTCTCTCCTCCTCCTCCTCCTCCTCCTCCTCCTCTCTCTCTCCCACTCCCTCTTCCTTTGCTGGCTTCTCTCTTGAACTCATTCAGACCTGAGCGCTCCTAAGAAATGCCGAGCGCGCTTTGGCCTTGATCAACAGAATAACTGGTGCGGCCCTTGCAGGTGTGTATAGATTTCCCAGATTCGCTGTGCTGGTTTGCAGCTGGTTTATTGGGTCCTTTCCCCACCCCTTCTCTGTCCTGTTGCTTTGTAGCTGTGTGTGGATCGTAGGAGTCCCGAGGGAGAGGGGCACTCACTGCCGAGCGTGCTGGGCTCTGAGGGATGTGCTTGCCCTCCCCGCTGCTGCTAGCCAAAATGCCACTGTAAAACAGCCTCACTGTACCTCCTCGGGTCCGCAAGCCCCAGGGGACCCCTTCCCAGGGAAATGTTGCCTGCCAAGCCCCTGCCCCAGGACAGCCTGGGTGGGGGGGCTCAGTGTTGGCCTAGGTATAGAAGCAAAGAATGTCACCTCTCCCTCTCCCTTTCTCTCTCTTTCTCTCTCTATTTTTCTCTCTCTCTTTTTTTTAAATTTGTTTTTCATTGTTTTTTGGTTGTTGTTTTCCTTTTGTGTTTTATTGTTTTGTTATTTATTTTTCCTTTGGACTCGCAGCAGCCCTCTGCTTTCATGTACTTGGTAAGGGAAGATAACCAGAGGCCACCGAGGTAACCGCTGGTAGCTAAGATGACGCCGCCTGAGCTCGACCCACCATTGTGTTGTATTTTTTTGTGTTTACCTTATGCTAACAGATGCAAATACTCCAAAGAAGTGTCGGGCACTGTTCGGGCTTGACCGACAGACTTTATGGTGCAAACCCTGCAGGTATATTACCACTGTCAGGCCTTGGGGGAAAGGAAAAATCACAGCTTCTGTCCTTCTGGTACCTTTAGTGTGGCGATCTACTTTTGACCTCTTTCCCTTCTACTTCCCCACTGACATCCTGACATCAATGCCTAATAATCCTCCTCGTCCCAAATGCCCCTGCTAATGTTATGCCATGCCCGCTCCCCACTCTCTCTCGCCCTCCCCGCACCCCTTGCTCTTTAACAAATTACGTGTCCCTGGTGGCAGACTTGAGACCAGACACCTTCCCCCACAGGGGCAGGCATGTCCCTTTTAGTTGGGAAAGGCCGGCCTTAGGACCATTTTGGTGGCATGGAACCTGAGCAGGTAGGGCCACCACGCCCAAAGGCTGCAACAGGCTAAAACTTGGCAGTGATGGCTCCCACGGACTTGGAGTCTCAGCACTCGGAGACGTATTCTGGGGCAGGCTTCTTTTGTTTTGTTCCGTTCTGTTTTTCGTTGTCGTTTTGTTTCTGGTTTTGTTTTGCGTTTTAAAACCACCTGTCCCGTGCACAGCGGAGCTTGGCTAGCTGACATGGTTTTACAGTGCTGAAAAGAAGCGTGGCATTGAACGGCATGCACCAGCTAAAAGGGCTGCAAGCAGTGTTGCCCGGCTGGCAGAATTTTCACAAGTCTGTGGGTATTATAAACGGATACGGTCTTGGTACCAAAAGGAACCAGAGAAAGCCCAGAAGAGTCCAAATTAAAGAGCCGTGTTCTGCCAGCAGGCTTGTCATTTCAGGGCAGAACTGTAGGGACTTCCTTCATGGTGGAGGGGCGCCTACTAGTTCTTGTCGCATTTCCTTTCTTTTAATGACCACCTTTGGTTAAATTTGTTGTTTCTTTGTTCTGATACAAGCAGTCTTTGAATTTGGAATATTATGATGGTAGGTATCTCAAACACCCCCCACCCCACCCCACCCCAAACATGCCTCCCTGTTTGTAGTGCCTCCCTCGTCACGTTTCCCACTCCTCCATGCCTCTACCATGTACTCCGTGTTTAGACTCTAGACCAGATGTCCATCACATCACGCGCATGCCCACAAGTCTCCTGTGTCTCTTTCCCCTGCTCTGATGCTGGTACGAGAGAGTGGTGACGTGCCTCAAGTGACCCCATGTTTAGGGGCCAGAGGACCTAGGCGGCTTTATTACTGAGGGGACCCTTATCAATAGAGGACCCTTTGCCCATGGGGACCAAGGAGGAGAGGGATGGAGCCTTAGACAAACGCCCATCAGAAAAGGAATTTACCCAGAAGCAGCCAGTGACGCTGTGAGATCGCAGAGCTGGCGGAAGGGACAAATGCTCTCTGGTGCAGTCCAGGGGTCTTGGCAGTAAAATGTACTGGCGCTTCATCATCACTTCGATGAGAGGCGGTGGGCGTTGATTAATGTCTAGCCCAGAAAAAGCAAGCTTTGGTGAGGCGCTCGGACGCAGACCGATAGGTCCACAGTTCAAACCCACCCACCCTTCGTCGTTCCGCCCGAGAAAGATGTGGCAGCCTTGAAAACCCGATGGTTCAGTTCTGCTTGGGTCCTCTAGGATCTCTGTGAATCAACTCAGTAGCAGCATGCTTGGCCAAGGTTGACAGAACGCCCCCTGACCCTAGCCAGACAGTGATGTTGTTGTGTCAGGGGTTGTTGAGAAGATGCCCAGCCACCAGGAGTGGTCCCAGGCAGGGCCCCGTAGAGGGCCTTCTCCTGGGTTATACATGGGCAGGGGGCTGTGCTTCGCACTGCAAGCTGCGCCTGCAGCCTCTTCTGTGTACTTTAATTGTGGGCGTAAGGGGCGGGGTTAGAAAGCCCTGTTCTGTTCAGAAGTCGTTGCCACAAGTCAGACTCGACCTCGAGCCCTTTCTAACATTAAGGAGCCGGGTAAGCGTTGATCGCTGCTTGCTAACTGCAAGATTGGTGGTTCATACCCACCAGCTGCTCCGTGGAAGAAAGATGAGGCTGTTGGCATCCTTAGAGAATTACAGTCTCAGAAACCCTATCTAGGTGATCGCTTGGAGTTGGAATCGACCCATGGCAGTAGGCGTGGCGTTTTCTAAGGTTGACCGAAACACAGCCCTTGGGCACAGCCCACATAACACAGAAAACAGCCTTTGTAACTGCTGCTTCGTGAATTTCACAGCGTGATTTTTCTAATGTACCGATTTGAGGCCGAGGGTGAAGGCAGGAGGCTGCCAGGACCTTGCCACTCCCCACACGCATCAGCATCAGTTGAATGTCCCCAGTGTCCAGAGACCCCTGAGAAAGGGAGTTGGGGTGACTTGTAGACTTGAGTAGCAGCCACCGCTGTGTGCACTTTTGAGGGTGTTCTTCCAGCACAGGATGCTCAGGAAGGACTCGTGGTTTAGTGACACAGGCATCGATGAATGCAGCACAGCCATGTTCAAAGCTCTGTGTAGGTCGGTGCTGAAGAGGGCCAGCCCTCGGGCTCTAGAGAGAGCCAAGTTGGAGTTAATGGGTTGGCGTGGATACAGCTGATTACCCGCCCCTTCTCTCCTGGACTGCCAGGCCTAGCCTGATGCTAAACCCTAAACCTGTAGGACAAACTTCACAAAAGAACGGGAGCAAGAAAAAGAGCAAACACTGAGGCATTTTGTGGCTGACCAGAGTGAGTGTGGGCGCCAACTGCCTCTACTCAGCTGCCCGTTGGAAGAACCGTCATTGTATCCCCCAGTCTTCGTGCCTGTGTTCCCCGCGCTCCACGCATTCCCATGGCATGGAAACTGCCATGGCACAAGAAGGGCGGGAGGGCCCAGAGCGTGCCAGGCCCGCTCCCAGACAATCAGAGCTCCCAGCTTGCGGCCACGGGGTTTTCTAATTTTGTTTGACATTTGAGGACAGTTTAACAAGATTCTGTTTTGAGCCCACCAAGTTGCTCTCCCCATCCTTCCACTCTGCCCTAATATAGCATGGAATGCTGCTTGGTGTCACCCCCTTGCTCTCCCTGATGTGTCCATCCCACCCCAACCCCTCCTTTCTTTCCCTTCTGACTCCTGTTTTATCCGTGCCCCACCCCCTTGCTTACACCCCCTTGCTTACACCCCCACCCCCTTGCTTCTCCCATTTTGTAAATTGCATGGACAGCTTAGTCTCCAAGCATGTCTTGATCTGCAGGATAGGGTGGTTCAAAACTCAGAGAGGCTTAATTTCCCTGGGATTCTGGGCTGGGCACAGAACCCTACAGCCTCCTTCATCCTCCAAGGAAAGACAGGGACCTCGCCAAATTGCACTGTCCCCCCGCCCCCAAGTCCCTTCCGGCCTGGAGGAGATGCATGGGCCACAAGGGCCTCGCCTGAGGGGTCTCCGCCTCTGGGAGGGAGAAGGACTGAGCATGTGCCCTTCCACCTCCTCCTCTTCTTCCCTCCCTCTGCCATCTTGCTGAGCCCCTCCCCACCCCCCTGCCACCACCACGCAGCAAGGAGCATGAGCCTAGAGCGCTGAGGTACTCAATGCCCCTGTCCTTTCAGAGGCCAGGGATGTTGTCCAACAGCTGTGGCCCTTCCCCCAAGCAAGCTGGTGGGGGCTTTGCAGTGGCTGAAAGCTCTAGGTTTTCGACGGAGTGTTACCAGCCGTGGTTGGGACGGCATTAGGGCTCCTTAGACCCACAAGTCCCCGGTATCTGCCATCGGTAGGGCCACTCTCAAGGATTGCCTTCCTGGCCCATAGCTTCCTGTCGAACTGGGGTCTGTGGTAGCACGGTACCTCTAGTGGATAGCCCCAACCTCATTCTTGGATGGCAAGCCAGCAGGATGCTCTCAGATTCTTACTTCTGTCTTCTGCATAGAGGATGGCAGAAGAGGGGAGATGGCGGTTTCAGGTACAGGGCAACACTTGAGTCTGCAGTTTAAAAATTAAGGTTCCCACCCCACCCCCACCCCCTGCCCAGAAGGAGGGTCCAGGCTCCAGTTACCTGGTGAGTCCTCTTGGTCATCACCCCCTCTGATGGGTTTGGACTACCATCCCCCCCTTCCCCCCATCTCCACCCTCCTTGCCATAACTGACAACGTCCAAGGCCCTGCCAAGGACCAAGGACCCCACCCCTCTATCCCCGGCCTCACCTTCTCTCCTTCCAAGCTTTCCCCTCTGGGATGCGGGATGGGAACCCCCCAAAATAAAAAAAAATCAAGTCGAAATCTTAATTGAATCCACAACCTGCAGGCCATACAACCAGTTATTCTTGTTCCTTTGCATCGTTTTCTGTTTTTCTTCTTCTCCCCCTACCTCCGTTGATCCTCTTTGACCCGTTTTTTGGTGACTTTGTTTTGTTTATTCGGTTGCTTTTGGTTTTTGTTTTTTAAGTTTATTTCCTTTTGGTTTTGTTTCTCCCCACCCCTGCTCCTCTCCCCTGATTCTGACCTCTCTTGATTTGGTGTGGTTCTTAACAGACCAACCCCAGAGCTCTCCGGGCACCGGCAGCCTGGCGGTGGTGGAGGTGGTGGAGGTGGTGGTGGCGGTGGCGGTGGCGGCGGTGGCGGTGGGGGTGGTGGCAGTGGCTGGAGGTGGCCTCTGTGGTGCTGGGTTACAACTGGGAAGCCTTTTATTAGTGCTACCTTCAGCCATGTGGGCTCAACAGCAGCACTTTGAGAACTCTGCCCGATGTACCTAGGGGCAGAGCTCTCTGTCTTGCATGCTCACATACACTCAGGCTCATGCACACACACACCCATACGCACACTCTATGTCTCTCTCAGGGGGGAGGGCTGTGGTGGGAAAGGGGGGATGGACACTGTGCTGGACAGGGCTGCCATTTCTGAGCCAAAAGAGAAACCACTGGCTTTGTCCCGAATTTCAGTGTGGACAAGGCCACTCCTTGGCAAGTAGGCACATGGCTCACATGTGACTTAGCTCTGGACCGAGGTGGGTCTGTGGGAGGACAGAGGCAGTCCTGGACTCTTGGCTGGCTGGCCAGAGCAGTCCGGCTGAGCGAGCACCCCGGTGCGACTTTAAGCTTGCCTGACACCCGGTGTGCCGCCTCCCTGGGGGCCCCCCTGCCAGGTGGTGGCCGCTGGCTCTGAGCAGTCACCGGCTCTCTCCCCTGGCGTCTCTGCCCAGCATTCACCCGCCCCTCTTTTCCCCTGTTTCTAGGAGAAAAAAAAAGTGCGTTCGCTACATACAAGGTGAAGGCGGCTGCCTCAGCTCACCCTCTTCAGATGGAAGCTTACTAGACTCGCCTCCCCCCTCCCCCAACCTGCTAGGCTCCCCTCCCCACGACGCCAAGGCGCAGACTGAGCAGACCCAGCCTCTCTCGCTGTCCCTGAAGCCCGACCCCCTGGCCCACCTGTCCATGATGCCTCCGCCGCCCACCCTCCTGCTCGCCGAGGCCGCCCACGGCAAGGCCCCAGCCCTTTGCCCCAACGGGGCCCTGGACCTGCCCCCCGCCTCGCTGCAGCCGGCCGGCGTCCCCTCGTCTCTCACACAGCCGTCGACTTCTTCGGTACATTCCCACAGCGCGCTGGCCGGGACCCAGCCCCAGCCGCTCTCCCTGGTCACCAAGTCTCTAGAATAGCTTTGGCTCCGTGCTCCATCCTGCTGGCTTGTCCCCGTGTCCCGATGGCCTTCTCTTTGATTTCCCCCTTCTCTTCCCCCTCCCACCCTGAAAGATCCTTGTTTGGTTGGGTGGTCGTTTTGTTTTTGTTTTTCTTTTTTTGGGGGGATACCCTTTGGTTTTCATGCCACGTGGCTACATGAGTTGATGTTTATCGAGTTCATTGGTCAATATTTGACCCATCCTTATTTCAACGGCTCCTTTTAAATATTGTAGATGAGAGAAGCACCTCATGATTCTACCAAAATTTTTATCAACCGCTGTTTAAAGTCTTTGTAGCGTTTAAAAATATATATAAATATATAAATATATATACATAACTGTTATGTAGTTCTAATAGCTTAGTTTAAAAAGACTGGTTAAAAAAGAAAAAAGAAAAAAAAAAAACAACCCACAAAGACGAAGAAGCAATTGGGAAGCAGCCCCCCAGCAGGGGCTACTTCTGTCTTACTTGTATTAAATACGAGCTTGCGAACCAATCATTGTAAACCTCGTTTTTTTGAACCACACGGGCACGATGAATGCAGTGCCATTACTTTTTTGTTTTTTCCCCTCCTTTTTTCTTTCTCTCTCTCTCTCCTCCTGTGTGAAACAACTTTTATTGTGATGTTACTTGTTATTGTTTAAATGTACAGAAACAAAGGGTTAAAAATGTGTTAATATTACCTTGTTCCATGGTGGTGTTCTTTTCCAGGGGGGTGGGGGGGGGCTACTCAGCAGTGAATGGAATCACAACCTTGTTGGACCGATCAGTAGTATTTATTGCTTTAGGGATTGCTTGTCGTAACTGTATGTTGTCCCTTTTCAAATATATGTTCTCCTTTTTCTTAAAACTGTAAAGAGTCCCCCCCTCTTAGCGTAAGCATCCTATATATAATGACTCATTTGTACAAGGTTTTTAAGTTTATATATAAAATGTGTATATATATTTTTGTTCCCCTCCTACCCCTCCTTTTTTTTTTTGGCTGTATGAAACTCGGAATGCCACCAAATGGACATTGATAATTGCATTCAAGAATCAGTAGCATTAATACAAGTTGCTTTAAAAGCCATTACGTATCATTAAGACTTGAAAAATCAGTGAGGGAATTTTAGCGACGCTGTCTGAGAAACCGTGGGGACTCTCCAGGGTGTCCCCGTCTCACCCCTTCGAACTTGCAGTTCAACGCCCTGCGCCATTACACATGGACTGGCCGTGTGCAAAAACTTTGATGTGCCAAAATTCTCAGTGACTTTAGCTTTCTCCCCCTTTTTGAGGCTGTAATTTTTGTTCATCATGTTTTGCTGTGATGTTACATAGATAGATTTGTATGTAGTTTTAATGTCACCTATAACAAGATGTGCTTGGTAGCAGATTGTCCGGAAAGCATTTTAAATGAAGAGGTAAAAACCCGTTAGGGCCCAAATTCTGTACGTTAGATTACTGTTTGAAAGGAAAAACCAGCTGCCGCTTCTATGTACACATTTTACATACAAGTAGGGAGCGTACTTTAAAAGACAAAAAAAGACAAAAAAAAAATCCTAGGCATGTTGATGTTGCAAAATGCTGTATAAAGCTGAGACCTGTTCATTCAGTGCCATTGTAGTTGACATGAAGCGATTGTAAAACTGTCTCTGATTTCCCTCTGGTTTATTAAGATGCTAACTATAACATTTTTTTTGTGTGAATACTTTGAATGTTTCCTAACAGTTGTGATGTTACCGTTCCGTTTTATGCTCTTATTCCAATTTCATTTTTAATGGTTTGGAAGCCATTTTTGTAATGAATAAATGTTCACTCTGTACAGTATCTGTAGCATGCCGGTCTGGATTAATAAAAGCAACTTAGTATGTGCACATACAGGCTGGTCGCTTGTTTCTGTGATGGGAATTTGCTCTCCAAGGGTAACTGGATTGACCCCACAAGAGAAAGACATCCATCTCCCTGCTGGTGCTGGACCCCTGGATGAGTGTATGGATTGGAGGTAATGGCTTAGAAATGAAAAAGTGGCCCTGAACTCCCTGCAGGGGTTGCACCCCACTTTGCAGACCTTGGTGTCCACTTGGCATCACCAGCGTATGTCTGGCTCGTACAACGTGCCATTTGCAACAAGATGACTGACCTAAAGTCCAAATCTGGGTGCACACGTTTCTCCTTATTATCCAACTGTGGATGTTTCCTTCTGAACTTAGCGCGCAGTTGAGGGAGCTCCTGACCCAAGGCCCAACAGACTGCGCAGTCCCGTGCCATCCCCGCAATCGAATCCCTGATTGTGGTCCGGCAGGTTCTCAGTGGCCGGATTTTGGAATTAGGTCACTGAATCCTTCCTTCCTAGTCCACCTCGGTGTGGACGCTCCATGAAACCTGTCCAGCATCATAGCAACACCCAAGCCGCCCCTGACAGACAGATGGCGGCCACGCATGAAGTGCTCTAGGGATTGAGCCCAGGTCTCCTGCATGGAAGGCAAGAATTCTCCCACTGGACCCCCGCCGTCCCCCTGGCTGCCTTACAGCACAGTTTCGGGGCTCTGATATGCCCTGCCCGTCCCTTTCCCAGGCTCCAGCAGACAGGATTTAAGTCTTAGTATTGAGAGGTAAGGAACTCGAATGTGGCCGTTGGAGGACCGTTGATGTGAAAGGGTCAAGTGGAAACCTTGTCTCTAGAGCTGAACCGCTGTGCAAGAAGTCTTAGGAAATTACAAGGGGATTCACATCAAGGTTTATATGGGGCAGGGGGTGGGGGGGTGTCTTGCGGTCAGTAGAACCCAGATCCTTTGGCACTGCCCTGGCATGAGAGTGAGATGAATACCTTCAGTCCTGGGCTACAGGGGAGATCTTCCTAAGGATCCCCTTTGAATTCATTTCTCCCATAGCCTGGGATTGGATGGATATATATATACTATATATATAGTGTATATATATATATATATATATAGTACATGGTTCGACTTATCTAGGACATCTGTACCTTAGCTTTTAGACTCATTGCATGCCTTTCAAAGGATGGATTTTAATGAGTGTTGACAATGTTCATGTCGACAGGGTCAGGGTTCTTTCTAGCCTTGCCTTTTGACCCTCCAGTAAAGCTCCTCCGACACTAGGCTTGGCTCAAGCTAGATCCGTTGTAGAAAACAAGCATTTCTTTCTCTTGTTTTGCTTTTGCTCTGCTTTGTGTTTCGGAGATGTGGGGAGGAGGCGTGCTTCTGGGTGCCCTTCCCTGGCTTATTTTGCACACTCGGCCCAGAATGACCTCAGAAAAGACCTTCAGTCAACAGACTAAGAATAGTTCCATTTGTGGTGATGGACCAAGGTGCTTCGGTGCATTTTTTTATTCCTGTTTTATTCCTGTTTTTCATCCAGACACTACCTGAGGCAGGTATGATTCTCTTCCGCCCCCCTCCCTCAGCTTTTTTCTTTTCTGTTTTAAATAATGCATTTAGAAACTTAACGTGGTTACGTGTCTTTTCCGAGGTCGCACGACTAGTGGCTTCTGGAACTGGGCTGGAGATTCTCCCTCTGCACCATGCAGTGTAAACACAGGTGGTCCTCCATGCAAGATTCTCTTCTGTTCCCAGGTCCCCACTCCTCATTTCCTGCCAGGGTCGCCCCCCTCCATCGATCAGGTCTCAGCAGAGACATCACTTTCTGGGAAGATAGTCCGGACCCCTTCAGGGTCAGTACAGTTTCCCTGCCACTCGCTCTCTCTGCACCCTGCCTGTCTTCCTCTTGAGCTCCCTTTTGTCACCGAGTGCTGATGGAGGGCCATGCTCAACTCTGGAGCGTGGGTTCTGACAGGGAGCATTTTGTGAACACACTTGGTGGGCATTGTGAGCATTCCCTCACCACGTGGTCGCAGAGCACCAAGCCGCACCGGCCACCGTTGTAGACACGAGCCCCTGAGCCTGGGTGAGCCAGCTTGAGTTTGTTTCCTCTGAGCTCAATCCTGCACCATCTGCCAGGATGGAGTCTTTAAATGGGGGAAACAGCCGAATTCCTGAGGTGCTGCTCATCTGGAAACGGGTTTTATACAACGTTGATGCAAGGGAAACTGAGGCTTAAAGAAGTTGCGAGACAGATCGCCCAGCCAGGACAATCGCCTTGCATAGACAGAACTGGAAAAGCCACCGTCTTTGCTCTTAAGGCCCCTGAGGAGGAGGAATAGGGAAGCTTGGGGCAGGCAGAGCTTGCACTGGACTGTGTGCTGCCTGACGTTCTGGGCAGTCTACCGACGGCACGTGACCTCAGGGCCAACCTGGGAATGAAGGCTGCTCTTTAGAAAAAAGCAAGGGACAGCCACTGTACTTCTGGATATGCAAACCCTGGATCTTGTGTAATCGAACTCACGTGAACCTAGAAGCTTGCTTAGTTTTGTTTCCCTTTTCCTATTTTTAGTCACTTTCATGAATTTGTGTTTAAAAGTTATTTTCTGAGTGTTCCCTACTCTGCCCATCTGTGGCTTCTAAACTGATCGTTTTAAGGGATTTCCTGTATTATTTATACCCCAACACCATTAGCACTGGAGCCCCTACTACTGGCCTCAGCCCATTAGTCAGCTACTGTTACCAGCCAGCCAGAAGGTGGGCAGTTCAAATTCACCTGAGGCACCTCAGAAGGCAGGCCTGGCAATCCGCTTCCCAAAGATCGCAGCCTCGAAAGATCTATGGAGCGGTTCTAATCCACGTACAGGGGGTCCCCGGGAGGTGAGATTGGCTGGGCAACAATGGTGACCCACGACACTTGAGACATTTTCTCATGAGCCCTGGTGGCAGAGTGGGCTGTGCATCGGCTGCTCCCCGTAGGGCTCACACCCACCAACCATGCTGCAGAAGAAAGACGAGGCTCCCTGTTCCCATCAAGATTTAAGGTCTTGGGCAGCCCAAGGGACAGTTCCGCCCTGACCCACAGTGATGACTCCGAAGCCACTTGAAGGCAGTGTGCTTGGTTTGGGGGTCACGAGAGGTTCTGGCCCTGTTCTACTCCCTGACTAGAACACCATTAGGAGACCAGCCTCGCTACAAAGGAGGCTGGGAAATGTTGGGAAACACACACACACAGCTAGGAGGGAGCACACAACCCATGCCACAGCTGCTTAAACCCAAACCAAACCGGTGCTGTCGAGTGGATTCCGACCCTAGCAACCAGAGGGCAGACTCAAACTGCCCAGTTCGGTTCCCAAGATTGGAATCTTTATGGAAGCAGCCTGCCACACTCTTCTCCCTTGGGGCAGCTTCTCAGCAGATGGCCAACTGCTTCCCTTCTGCCCCACTAGAGCTCCTTTCTACTCCCCGTGAGCTGACAGGGTTTGGGGGGGCACCAGAGCACCCCGTTATTACCTTCAGAGCTTCCTTTATTTGCATTACACTCACATCTTGGAAATGATGTGTTTATGTAGGCGATTCCTGTCCATTGTCTTCCGTTTCTCAGACCGTGGGCTGGCAGACTGAAGACCAAATCAGGGCTGTGTAGGCTACCAGCCTTTGTACCAAAATTACATTTTTGTCATGCAAAAATTGCAGCAGAGACTGCTTTTGACTTATAATGCCTTACCGATTTACTCTCCAGCTCTTTTCCTAAGGAGGCTGCCAGGTAAGCTTCTGGAGGGCGGGGATGATGTTTATCTTGTTCCTCCCTCCGAATGGAGTCTGATGTTTCACAGATATTCAATAAATATTCGTTAATGAGTACATGAAGTGCTTTAAAAGGCGTTTCTTGAGCAAATGGTT